GCCAAGCACATACCAAGCATAAGATAAGGTGAGGCAAAATGTGTGTGGCCAATTATGGAAAATCTTACCCAACCAGAATTGTTTTTAAAGATGTGCGTCCATACAGATACAACATGTTAACGAGTGCTCCAATTCCCTTGGTCACCCCACACCAAGTGTCGATTCCCGTCATTGTGGTCAATCGAAACGGCCACAGCTCTCTCTCTCTCTCTCTCTCTCTCTCTCTCTCTCTCTCTCTCTCTCTCTCTCTCTCTTGGTATTTCAGTGGGGTCCTTCAGGACTGTATATTATGAAAGTTTTGGACAGTCCTGTTGGACGATGTCACCACGGACACCAATCCGGGAGAACCGCAAACAAACCAAAATAAGCCATGGTGGACGGGAAACGCCTATCAAAATGGGGTCGTAAAGAGCAAACGAGACAGCAATTCCAGCTTGAGAAGAAAAGACACCTAGCTGAGGGTGACCTGTATGAAGCAGGGGTCTGCAAAATGTAAATTGTTATATCGGACTGGATATCTAACCATTGGCAATACAATTGTGAGCGTATATAACTACGTTTTCAGTAAGTTTTGCACGTGAAAACTTAAAGGGCTATTTTCTCAAACTGGGCTTTTTCAAGGGGGGTGGGAACGCAAAATATCTATCACTTGAAAACGTCTTTAAGATATCTTCGTAATTTTTGGTATACTGATAGAAGAAACATTATTCTAGTGTACCAAGTAGTGATGTTTAAAAAAATCTTTAATAAATGATTTGATTATAAATTCAATTCGTTGTTATGATCTGAGATTTCTGTGGTCAAAATATTCTCCTATTTTGGACCTCGATTCTAAAAAACGTTTGTCCTCCTATATCAAAATGCCAGTCCATCCACTAGAACAGCCACAGAAGGCTGCAAAAACCACTTATAATAATATTTTAAAATCATTTATAACCTTGTGATAGATTTTAAAGAAATGTGTACTTTTTCTATATATGAGATTCCAATATGGCAGTCGTTACTATAGCAACACAAAATCATTTTCAAAACTGATATTATATATCAGATATCTAATATTATACCAACTTACCTAACAACACAATCATAGCTTTCTCAGTTTAACTGACCACAGGAATATCAGAATTACCTTCTCTCCCCCCCCCCCCCCCAACAACCCTCCCCCAGAGTAGTTGGTCTCAAGTTGTTTACTCTCGATCTGTTGTTTCTTTCCACCACACTTGATATTTTTCTCAAGCACTGAATGATCCTAATGTTGTCTTTGTGCTTGTCTTTAATCAAATGTGAATCCTTCAATCAAAGTTCAAAGTTCGTAGTCAGCTCTTTCTCTACATGCAGGCTGCCCAGAAAAAAAAACTGTACAACTTTTTGTGTTAATATTTTTGCCGTCTCCTAAGTTTTGCGTTTCCAATTTGTACACAACATTTGGAAGTCAAAAGGAATTTGTCTGATATTAATTTTAGATAAATCCACAGTATGGTTTTGCTCTACATGGCGCGTAAAAAACTACCCATTTTCAGCGATGTCCCCATTTTTGTAGCACGGCGCACTAGTTCGCATTAAGTCTACAACTAAAAATCCCAACGATAGCGCCGTATTGCAAACTACAGCAGTCTAACAGGCCAACAGAAGTCAGCACATAGTTTTTTCTCAAGTTTCCTTTGTCTGCTGAGATCATGGTTAAGATTAGTAAAGAGAAGAGAGCTTTTTGTATTGAACATTTCCTCACCACTAATTCATTTTGCAAGTTTCGTATATTGTACGGAAATAATTTTAAAGTGCCTTTAAGGCACTATATACTGTTCGTTTCTTGGCAGTGTTTTACTATAGATCTAAGTACAAGTTATTTACAAGTGCTTTGGGAGACGAAATTGGTTAACTTCCCTTTCGAAGCTCTAGAATATTATGGCTCACAATTAAATTTGATCTACATGTAATACCATATTCACCTTTCAGGTTATATCAACTCCGTGAATGCTGTCTATTTGGGCAACCTCACCCTCCCCCC